CACAATGACCAAATGGGATTGATTCCTAGAACACAAGGATTGCTCAACATAGGCAAATCAATGAATGTAATGCACCATTTCAACAGAATGAAGAAAAATTCACACGACCATCTCAATTAAGGAAGAATATGAATTTCACATGATTCAGCACCTTTTCATTATAAAAATATTCAACAAACTAGAAATAAAGCAAATTACCTCAACATCATAAGGGACATATAGCAAAAGCCTACAGCTAACATTATACTCAATGATGAAACCCTGATAATTTTTCCTCTAAGAGCAGGAACAGGACAGGATGCTCACTGTCGCCATTTCTACCAACTTAATGTTGGAAAACCAAAAATCAAAAACCAGCATCAAATATATGCTAACTACAAGAGAATCACTTTACTTATTAAAAGCAGGTGGGAGGGGGAAGAGGAGATGGGTATATACTTAAATAAAGAGTTCAATGAGTGCGATGCAACCACCTGGGGATAGACACGTTTGAAGCTGTGGCTCAAGGGCAAAGGAGGCAGGGGCAATATATGTAACCTTGTTAAGGTTACATTATGAGGTTAAGGTTATACCCCCACAATATGATGAAATAAACAAACAAACAAACAAAACCACAAATTGCTTAAAAGGGAAGGATTGGAAAGAAATATTCCCTGAAAATAGTAACCAAAAGAAAGTGAGGGTGGCTATACTGACTGCAAGTCAAAAAGTTGAAAGCATTAAAAGAGACAAAGAAGGAATATATTTGTATCTATTCTATGTCAATTCACCAAGAAAGTACAATTATAAATATTTATGTACCAAATATTGGAACTCCTAGATATATGATGAAAAGTTGACAAAAACTTAAGGAAGAACTAAATAGCAACAAAATAATGGCAGGAGATTTCAATCCTCCACTTTTAGTAACTGATATAACCAGATGGAAGGTAAACAAGTAAATATAGGACTTGAATAACAGGACAGGCCAAATGGATATAACAGATATATACACAACATTCTATAGAGCAATAGCAGGATACATAATTTTTTTTCATGCCCATATGGAACATTCTCCAGCACAGACAACCTTTTATGCCACAAAAAAAGTCTTAACAATTTTTAAAATAATTGAAATTATGCCAAGGATTTTCTCCAGTCTGTATGAAATGCAATTAGAAATTACTTAAAGAAGAAAAACCTGACTATCCACAAATCTGTGAGAATTTAAAAATACAATATTAAACAATAAATGAGTCAAAGAAGTCACAATAGAAAGCACCTTGAGAGAAATTAAAATGAAAACAATGTATACCCAAACTTGAGGGATCCATAAAAAACAGTGCTAAGAGGAAAGTTTACATGTGTAATACACACATCAAAACTATGTAACAAAAAATCTCAAATCACAACCGAACTTTACACCACAAGGAACTAGGAAAATGGAGAAGAAACTAAACCTGAGCAAGCAGAAATAAATAAATAAATAATAAAAATTAAAGCAGAAATAAGTTAAATAGAAAATAGAAATTCAATAGAAAAAAGTAAAGATTTGGTTCTTTAAAAAGTTCCTTAATGAATATTGATGCAAAATTCTCTAGCAAAAACTAGCCAAGCAAATCTAATAGCACCTTAACATGAAAACACACCATGACCAAATGGGATTGATTCCTAGAACACAAGGATTGCTCAACATAGGCAAATCAATGTAATGCACCATTTCAACAGAATGAAGAAAAATTCACACGACCATCTCAATTAAGGAAGAATATGAATTTCACATGATTCAGCACCTTTTCATTATAAAAATATTCAACAAACTAGAAATAAAGCAAATTACCTCAACATCATAAGGGACATATAGCAAAAGCCTACAGCTAACATTATACTCAATGATGAAACCCTGATAATTTTTCCTCTAAGAGCAGGAACAGGACAGGATGCTCACTGTCGCCATTTCTACCCAACTTAATGTTGGAAAACCTAGCCACAGCAATTAAGCAAGAAAAAAAAAAAAAAAAAAAAAAAGGAGGGGGACAGTAATAAGTTAAAGGCCTCCAAATTAGAAATGATCTTCATTAAAATTATCTCTGTTCCAGGTGGCATGATCTTATCTGTAGAAAACCTCAAGATTCCATATGGAATAAACTGCTAAACTTATAAATTCAGCAAAATTGTAATATATAAAATCAACACATAATAATAGAATGTGTTTCTATACATTAAAAATGAATAATCCAAAAATGAATCAAGAAAACAATTATAATTCCTAGGATATCAAAAAGGATGAAATACTTAGAAATAAATCTAACAAAGGTGGTGAGAAGCCCTGTACACTGAACATTGTGAAACTCTGACAGAAGAAATTACAGAAGATGTAAATAAATGGAAGAACATCTTACATACATGGGTTAGAACACTTAATATCAAAAGATTTCATTACTACCGAAAGCAAACTGCAAGTTTATCTAAATATCTACTATAAATCATGAGAATATTTTTGCAGAAATATTAAAAAAAATATTCAAAATTTATATGGAATCTTAAGGGACTACAAACAGCCATGATGATTTTAGAAAAGAAGAAAAAGTTTGGAGAAGTCATATTTCCTGGTTTCAAATCAAAGTTACAGTAATCAAAACAATGTGTTACTGGCATTAATAAAAACATAAATATGTGTGGAATAGAATATAGAGCCTAGAAATAATTCCTCATATATACAGTCAAATGATATACAACAAAGGTGCCAAGACCATTCAATGAGAAAAGAACAGGCTTCTTAAAGGTGTTGGGAAAACTAGATAGCCACATGGAAAAGTATAAAGTTAGACCCTTATCTCACACCATATAAAAATATTAACTCAAAATGTATTAAATACAAGGAAGAGACCCATAATATAAACCTCCTAGAAGAAAACATTAGAGAACATGTTCATTGACATTGATTTGAACAAGATTTCTTAGAAATGATTTCACAAGCACAGGGAAAAATAAAGGAATATTAGACAAATGAGAATACATTAAGAACTTTTCTGCTTCAAATTACACTACAGAATGTAAAGGCAACCTATAGAATAGAATAGAAGAAAATATTTGCAAATCATATATCTGATAAGGGGTAATATCTAGTGTGTAAATAACTCCTACAACCCAATAACAACAAACAAACCAAATAACCCAATTAAAAAATGGGCAAAGGACTTGAGGAGCATTTTTCCAAATATACGTGCAAAATGCCAACAAGCATATGAAAAGATGTTTGACATCACAAAATATCATAGAAATACAAATCAAATAACAATGAGATATGACCTCGCTTCCATTAGAATGAATGACTGCTATTAAACAAACAAACAGAAAATACTAGTGTTGGTAAGAATGTGGAAAATAAGATGGGAAACGTTGGTAGGATTATAAAATGGCACAACCACTATGGAAATCAGTATGGCCATTCTTCGAAAAAAAAAAAAAAAGAAATGGTCTACCATATGATATACCAGTACCACTTCTGGGTATATTCTATGGCTTAAATGTTTGGTTGGCTAGAATGTTCATCTCCTTTAAAATTCACGTTGAAATTTAATATTTAATGTGTTAGTGGTGAGAGGTGGGACCTTTATGAGGTGATTTGGTCATGAGGACTCTTCCCTCATGAATGGATTAATATATTCATGGATTAATGGGTTAATGGGTTACCAAGGGAGTGGGAATGGTGGCTTTATAAGAAGAGGAAGAGAGACCTGAGCTAGCACACTCAGCCACCTCAGCAAGCAGTGCTGCCATAACCTTGCAGAGAGTCCCTATCAACAACAAGGCCCTCACCAGATGAGGCCCATAGGTTTTGAACTTCTCAGCCTCCATGACCATAAAACATAAATTTTCTTTTTTAGAAATTACCTAGTTTTTATAATTAGTAGTTTATAATTACCTAGTTTTGGGTATTCTGTTATAAGCAACAGAAAACCAACTGCGGCAGTACATATCCAAAAGAAATGAAATCAGAATCTCAGTGTTCATTGCAGCAGTATACACAATAACCTAGATATGTAAATAACTAAATGCCATCGTCAGATGAATGGGTAAAGAAAATATTGTATATACTTACAATGGAATATGTTTTAGCCACAACTGGAAGAAATTCTTGTCACATTAGGTACAACATAGATGAACCTTGAGGGCATCATGTTATGTAAAATAAGCCAGTCATAGAAAGACTAATACTGTATGATTCCACTTATAAAGGAATCTGAATTTATCAAATTAATGTGAACAGAAAGTTGAATAGTGGTAACCTGGGACAGACGTGGAGTGATTTAACAGGTGTGGAGTTTCAGTTTTTCAAGATGAAACATTCTTGAGATATGTTTCATAACAATGTGAATATATTTACTACTACTGAACTGTACACTTGAAAATGATTGGTAAGTTTTATGTAATAGTTTTTCCCCTACAATAACAAAACACTTTGAAAATTATACTATTTGAGTTATAAAATCTAAAAAAAGGGACCATTTTGATAAAGATCTGTATAAACAATATTAGAGATCCATCATATGTATTTTTGATCATTGAAATGAATATTAACTTTCAAAACTTTGTTATTACTAAAGAGATGGGAAGAAATGCATACCAGAGCAACTCCTGCTGCAAACTTGGGATCACACGCCATTCCATGATAAGTTGCTCCCACATGAATAAGATGGTCCCTATAACTAAATAATACAATTTTTCTTATGGATACATACATTTTAAAAAGGTAATAACAGCATTTTATGAATTGGATTCCTATATAAAGTTATGCTTTCTTTGAAACATGAATATCACATAAACTATCTTATACTTTCAATCATTTATGATTGTTGTAATATCCTATAATTCACAGAAAGTTAAGTTCTAAAGGCTGTTCAAAAGTATGTGAGACAAAGTCTACAATGCCTAATCCTTTCAAAAATTAATAATCACCATTGTAATCACTAGATGGATATAATTCTAAGATATACAACTGAAGATTGTTTATTGCCATGAATTTTAGGTAGTGATCCAATTCTAAAAATATATGAAGTGCACTGAATTGGAAAACAGGGAGAGAAGGAGAGAACGTATGCAGCTGATTCATTAAGAAAAAGGGAGATATGATGTAGAAACTGTCCTCTCACATTTTAGTCCCACCTTAATGTCGCTCTGGAATCCCAGAAGCTCTTTGGACTCCTCAGAGGATATCAATAAATTTATAAATAGATTCCATATTGCTTAAGATCTTTAAATTTGTGTTTTCAATTTTTGCATACAAATTAATCAAACTATTAAAATAAAAATCTGTATAAAGACTCTTGAAAGATGCAGAGCAAGTAGATAAATAGCCACCTCACAGGTCACTGCAGAAATATCATGAGGTAACTAACTACAGGGAGAACAAAGTGGTCGATTTCGGTTATTTATTAATTTTACGTTTTGTGCTATAACCAGCAGTCCATGCAATTATGGCGTTCTGTGAACCAATTTGCATGCGATGCAATATTAAAATGACAGTTACATTGTTTACCTCTGAGAAAATCTTTACAACCATAGAGGGTTCCATGTTTAGCGCAAGGCTAAACATGGTGACCTGGGGCAGACGTGGAGTGATTTAACAAGGCTAACATTCTGTAGCTCTTGCATTTCCATAAGAGTGTACTCTGAGAATAATGGCCTACTATGATTTAATAATTGTCTTACATCATTATAAGACTTTTATATTTTCTATTTTGCCCAAAGAATATTCACATATCTGTAAATATTATGCATAATTTGTATACAATTTGATAGCTAATACATCAAATAATTTGGTGAAAGGCTTCATCGGCGTGAATATAGTGCTTACATTAATAAGTATGCCATATCACGGAACCTCTGGAAGGAAAATTTTTGTTTCCAAGACAAAAATCTTTGTAGTAATTCATCAACATCCCCACTTGTTGAAATTTTACTTTGATCTGACCACACCTCCAAAGAAGATAGCATAATTGTCATTTTAAGCTGGAAAAACATCTGAAAACAGAAGATACATGTTACACAAGTTTGGGTAACCATAAATAACCAGTATGCTCAATACATAATGCTAATATACTTAATTTACTATTTTTTGGAGATAAATCCATTGGTGGATTAAACTAGTTAGTTGGACTACACTTTTTATAAAAGTGTAAATGCTATTTATGCAACGTTACTGCATTAATGGATATGTTGCCTACATAAGTATGAAACATACTTACAGTGTTGATGAAACCAAAGATTTGGGTAACTTTCTCAACTGCAATTGCCACTTCAGAGCCCATTAGTCATACTGAAAGACAAATTTTGTTTCTTATCACTAGTGAAAATTACTAAACTATTATATTTAAATGGATTTAAATATAAAAGTAGAATAATTTAGTACTCAACTGAAGAGGCAAAGTAGAATTAAGATATATCATATGCTAAAGTTTAGACATGAACCTAGAGATTTTATAAATTAGTCAATAAAATTAAAATAAGATGGTTGTGATTATTTTCCTCTTTACAGATCTAGAAATTAAGAGTCAAAGTCTTGAGGTACCAAGGGTGCATAACAAACAAGGAAAAGAACCAGAACTCAAATCTAACTAGCTAAACTACTAAGTCTATTATTTCTATTATAGTATGCTGTCATTATTTGTCTTCATCCTAATAAAAACTGACTATGAAAGCATACCTCATTTTATTGCACTTCACCTTATTGAAGCAGATATTTCCTTTTCTTTTTTTTTTTTACAAATTGAAGGTTGTGGCAATAATGCACCAAACAAGTCTACTGGCGCTATTTTTCCAACATTGTGTTCTTACTTCATGTCTCTGTGCCAAATTTGTGGAATTCTTGAATATTTTAAAATGTGTTATTGTTATTTTATGTTACGGCAATCTGTCACCAGTGATCTTTTGATTTCTATTGTGTTATTTTTTTTGCAGGAAATGTCACTAAGATGGCAATTATAGCATTTAATCTATAAATGCTGTGTGGTTTCTAACTGGTCATTCCTGTTTCTCTTGCTCTCACTGGAAGGAAGCACTGTTAAAATTAGGCCAATTAATCACCTTACAATGGCCCTAAGTGTTCAAATGAAGGGTAGAATGGCATGACTGTTGCTTTAATTCAATGTCGAAAACTGAGAGGCTAACAGCTAGGCTTGCACCCAGCAGTTAGCCAAGTGTGAATACGAAAACAAAGTTCTTGAAGGAAATGTATGTATTTATTTATTTTCTATTTAAGAATATTACGAGGGTACAAACGTTTTGGTTACATAAATTGCTTTTGTACCGTTTGAGTCAAGACACAAGTGTGTCCATCCCCCAGATAGTGTGCATTGTACCCATTAAGTGTGAATTTACCATCCCCTCCCCTACCTGCTTGATTTCCAGTGAAATGTTATTTCCCTATGTGCACAGAAGTGTTGAGCGATTAGTTCTGATTTATAGTGAGTACGTGTGGTGTTTGTTTTCTGTTTCTTGTGATACTTCACTGAAGATAGGCTCTAGTTTCATCCAGGTTAATACAAGAGGTATTAGTTCACCATTTTTGAAAGCTGAGTCATGCTCCAGTCAATCATTTATGATTGTTGTAATATCCTATAATTCACAGAAAGTTAAGTTCTAAAGGCTGTTCAAAAGTATGTGAGACAAAGTCTACAATGCCTAATCCTTTCAAAAATTAATAATCACCATTGTAATCACTAGATGGATATAATTCTAAGATATACAACTGAAGATTGTTTATTGCCATGAATTTTAGGTAGTGATCCAATTCTAAAAATATATGAAGTGCACTGAATTGGAAAACAGGGAGAGAAGGAGAGAACGTATGCAGCTGATTCATTAAGAAAAAGGGAGATATGATGTAGAAACTGTCCTCTCACATTTTAGTCCCACCTTAATGTCGCTCTGGAATCCCAGAAGCTCTTTGGACTCCTCAGAGGATATCAATAAATTTATAAATAGATTCCATATTGCTTAAGATCTTTAAATTTGTGTTTTCAATTTTTGCATACAAATTAATCAAACTATTAAAATAAAAATCTGTATAAAGACTCTTGAAAGATGCAGAGCAAGTAGATAAATAGCCACCTCACAGGTCACTGCAGAAATATCATGAGGTAACTAACTACAGGGAGAACAAAGTGGTCGATTTCGGTTATTTATTAATTTTACGTTTTGTGCTATAACCAGCAGTCCATGCAATTATGGCGTTCTGTGAACCAATTTGCATGCGATGCAATATTAAAACGACAGTTACAATTGTTTACCTCTGAGAAAATCTTTACAACCATAGAGGTGTTCCATGTTTAGCGCAAGGCTAAACATGGTGACCTGGGGCAGACGTGGAGTGATTTAACAAGGCTAACATTCTGTAGCTCTTGCATTTCCATAAGAGTGTACTCTGAGAATAATGGCCTACTATGATTTAATAATTGTCTTACATCATTATAAGACTTTTATATTTTCTATTTTGCCCAAAGAATATTCACATATCTGTAAATATTATGCATAATTTGTATACAATTTTGATAGCTAATACATCAAATAATTTGGTGAAAGGCTTCATCGGCGTGAATATAGTGCTTACATTAATAAGTATGCCATATCACGGAACCTCTGGAAGGAAAATTTTTGTTTCCAAGACAAAAATCTTTGTAGTAATTCATCAACATCCCCACTTGTTGAAATTTTACTTTGATCTGACCACACCTCCAAAGAAGATAGCATAATTGTCATTTTAAGCTGGGAAAACATCTGAAAACAGAAGATACATGTTACACAAGTTTGGGTAACCATAAATATAACCAGTATGCCTCAATACATAATGCTAATATACTTAATTTACTATTTTTTGGAGATAAATCCATTGGTGGATTAAACTAGTTAGTTGGACTACACTTTTTATAAAAGTGTAAATGCTATTTATGCAACGTTACTGCATTAATGGATATGTTGCCTACATAAGTATGAAACATACTTACAGTGTTGATGAAACCAAAGATTTGGGTAACTTTCTCAACTGCAATTGCCACTTCAGAGCCCATATAGTCATACTGAAAGACAAATTTTGTTTCTTTATCACTAGTGAAAATTACTAAACTATTATATTTAAATGGATTTAAATATAAAAGTTAGAATAATTTAGTACTCAACTGAAGAGGCCAAAGTAGAATTAAGATATATCATATGCTAAAGTTTAGACATGAACCTAGAGATTTTATAAATTAGTCAATAAAATTAAAATAAGATGGTTGTGATTATTTTCCTCTTTACAGATCTAGAAATTAAAGAGTCAAAGTCTTGAGGTACCAAGGGTGCATAACAAACAAGGAAAAGAACCAGAACTCAAATCTAACTAGCTAAACTACTAAGTCTATTATTTCTATTATAGTATGCTGTCATTATTTGTCTTCATCCTAATAAAACAACATGACTATGAAAGCATACCTCATTTTATTGCACTTCACCTTATTGAAGCAGATATTTCCTTTTCTTTTTCTTTTTTTTTTTACAAATTGAAGGTTTGTGGCAATAATGCACCAAACAAGTCTACTGGCGCTATTTTTCCAACATTGTGTTCTTACTTCATGTCTCTGTGCCAAATTTTGGTAATTCTTGAAATATTTTAAAATGTGTTATTGTTATTTTATCTGTTACGGCAATCTATCACCAGTGATCTTTGATGTTACTATTGTGGTTATTTTTGTTTGCCAGGAAATGTGTCCATATAAGATGGCAAATTATAGCATTTAATCTATAAATGCTGTGTGGTTTCTAACTGGTCATTCCTGTTTCTCTTGCTCTCACTGGAAGGAAGCACTGTTAAAATTAGGCCAATTAATCACCTTACAATGGCCACTAAGTGTTCAAATGAAGGGTAGAATGGCATGACTGTTGCTTTAATTCAATGTCGAAAACTGAGATAGGCTAACAGCTAGGCCTTGCACCCAGCAGTTAGCCAAGCTGTGAATACGAAACAAAAGTTCTTGAAGGAAATGTATGTATTTATTTATTTTCTATTTAAGAATATTACGAGGGTACAAACGTTTTGGTTACATAAATTGCTTTTGTACCGTTTGAGTCAAAGACACAAGTGTGTCCATCCCCCAGATAGTGTGCATTGTACCCATTAAGTGTGAATTTACCCATCCCCTCCCCCCTACCTGCTTGATTTCCAGTGAAATGTTATTTCCCTATGTGCACAGAAGTGTTGAGCGATTAGTTCTGATTTAATAGTGAGTACGTGTGGTGTTTGTTTTTCTGTTCTTGTGATACTTCACTTGAAAGAATAGGCTCTAGTTTCATCCAGGTTAATACAAGAGGTATTAGTTCACCATTTTTGAAAGCTGAGTCATGCTCCACGGTATACATATAAAGTGCTACTCCAGTGAACACATGAATGACAAGAAAGTGAAACAGCCTTATGGATGATTAGAGAACGTGTTAGTGGTTTACATAAAAGATCAAACCAGTCACAACATTTCCAGTAAGCCAAAGTCTAATCCAAAGTAAGGCCCTAACTGTCTTAAATTCTATGAAGATTAAGAGGACTGAGGAAGCTGCAGAAGAAAAGTTAGAAGCTAGGAGAGGTTGGTTCATGAAAAAGTGGTGCTTGGGATCTTCAGTAATGCCCAGTAAGTCTCAGAAGATTCCTTATAGAAAATAAAATGCAATGGATGAAAATAAAATGCAATGGATAGAGTTCCACTCTGATATAGACAAAAGAGATTTATTCTTCTAACTCTTTGAAGTCCATATCTTTAGAGACAGTTTTGCACATTGTTGGTATTTCTCTTTATGTAACATTCTGCAGTAAACCACACTGTATATTTAAATGATGTAGCATGTATGGTATGAGTGAAAGTTCTTCTTTGCAAAGCTAAATATATAAAAATCATACAAAAACATAATACAAAAATATCATATAAACAAACCCAAATACATCAATAATCATAAGACCAAACACTATCCAAACAGACAATAAAAAATCCATTATATGCACACTAATTTTTTTTCAGAAAACATAATTTATAAGGACACAAAAATACTGAATCAAAAGATGAAAAGATATCATGTAGTTTCAGGAAAATAATAGACAAAGCATATATTAAATTCTGTAATAGTTATATGAATTTAGTAGTTATGTTGATAAGAATAAATCTTGGAACACAAAAAGAACAGGATTATCACAATACACTGATAAAATATTCAATTATTAGAAAGATGGAGAGTTTCTAAAGTTGCATATAACAAATAACAAGACTATAAAATATATAAAACAAGATTTAACAAAACGATAAATAGAATATAATATTGAGATATTTCACAAAGGTATCTTAATAACTAAGATTGAGTAGACAAATTAACAGTAAGGGTAGGCAAGATTTTAAAAAACTAAGCAAATTTGGATATAATATATGTATATAGAAGCTTGTCTACAAATATGAGAATACATATTTTTTCAAACACAAATAAAAGTTCTATATAAATTGACCCAGATTAGGTCATAAAACAGTTCTTTGAATATAAAACACAGTATCACTTAGATCACGTTATCTAACCACAGTGAAATTAATTTAGAGTGGAAGCGACAAAAGTATTTTAACAACACTATTTTTACTGAGATGGACAATTCTGTTGTGGTTGAAGAGATAATGGTCTTATTCTAGGTAAATACACACCACAGTATTTTACAGTTAAGCTCCATGATGCGATTTACAACTTACTTTCTAATTCAAATGGAGACAGCACAAGTGATATGGGATAGAATATTAACAATAAATGTGGGTAAAGAGAATAAAAGTGGTATTGTATTGTTCTCCTTCTTGTGACTTTTCTGAACATTTGAAATTATTTCCAAATTAAATGTTTAAAAAGTGAGGATGAAATAAAGACAATTTCAGTTGAACAAAATCCGGAGAGAATTCAGCAGGCTAA